TGTTTTTTTAACTGAAGTTATATTTTGCTAGATACGTATAAAAGTTCTAGCGCAATATCACTTCGATGCACTCTGTGCAGTATGCAGCTTTGAGGTAAATGGATACTGTTATAAAACCTGCACAATGTTGCAAATTCAGCAGTCAGAAGCTGCCTGTGGCAGACCAGTTTACACACATGAATCCAATAATATTCCTCAGTGTTTTAGGAGTAAGTATTCACAGGACAAAAATGAACACCTCACCCAAAACCACTATATCCTCAGATGTATGCCTGGGCCAATTAATTATAAATACTACCTCAGAAGCTATGCCACTAGTACTCATACTTTTCTAATGAGATTAAGTTAGCTGACTTAAAAGTTTGTTTTAAGTGGTAAACTACCACACCTTCTGTTGCAAAAAAATCAGCAATGCAAAAATCAAGGTTATTGTTTTCTCTAGTGCACCAGACCAAATCAGTTCAGTAATATTTTTTTCTCTCTAAATTGAAACAAACAATTTTAAAATAGCATTTGCATCTTTGGTTCTATGCATTTCCAAACCAGCAAGGATACATATGAACACAGAATTAGATTAAGGGAAGTCAAAGGAAGCCAGCAGCATTTTATTTTGATTTTTTTTTACCCTACTCTTGGAGAGCGCAAATTTTTTTTTGCCTATGGATTATGAACAGTGTCTGAGTCAACAGGATTGAGTACTTCAGTGAAAAATTCCTTTTTTGGTAACTGGAGAGCTTGACTCTAAGTGTATTGGATGGTTGGTACATGAGGTAAACTACTGCAGACAGAAGGGCACTAAAATGTAGGCAACAGGCAGAGAACTTTGACACTTACAATTTCATAAGCCCCAACCACAACAGTAACAAGTGCAACTTCACTAGGAATGAACTAAAACTTAAATGAGCGTAACAATTTGAAACTAGCTTTACTATGGCAGTAAAACTAATTTTCTCTGCTTTTGCTCGGACTAGGAAGCTTTTGCTCCAACTCATTTGAACCATACCAAGAACCACCATGAGCTGCAAACAGATGTCACATTTGGCCTGGGATAAACCATTTCATCCCAGGACAAGATGCAATAATTCAGACATCTATGTCCACTGCCCCAGGATAAATCCTAAAAAAAAGTTCATGGTATAAGAAATGCTAACACTGTTTATTCTGGAACATCGTGAAATGTGCCCAAATGGTTACCCCAGGATTGCATCATTGAATCAATGGCAGAAAAATAGCGGTGCATTCACTAAACCCTGATTAGAAGGCCAACATGTGTACATACCAGTCCTGGGTCATTTCTGCTATGGGACAACTAGTCCAGGGACAGATGCAACATCTGTTCTTAGCCTGAAGAGCACGTCACTGTTTTCTGCAGTTTTTTTTTCTTTTTTAAAGCAGACTACATTGTTTTTACAGTCCCTCCCCCCCCGTACACAGCTCCTCTCCCCAATTAAATCCATACCTCTTAATACATGATAATAATTAGTGTGGCTCACATTTGGAAGATTGATCTCCTACAACTTTAAATCAAATCCCCTTTCTTATCTCTGAAGGATGTCCTTAATAATAGGAAATAGCATAATAAAAATAATCCTACTTCATCTAGATGAGAGTTTGCCAAACTTTTTCTTATTGAATATCCCTTCCATTTATCAGCTGCCCACATACCCCTACCAGCATACACTGTATATTTAACCTCTTAAATGCCAATTATTATTATACTAAAAATTAAATTCACCATGACACAATTTCTCCCATGTATCCCCCAAAGATGCCTTGCATGCCCCCAAAGGTATGTGTACCACAGTTTAGAAATCCCTGAACTAGATAGTGGAAACTCATTTTAAAAGTATCGAGGTTTTTCACTTATCCAAACACTTTTTCGTCCACTGTGTGTGTGAAGATTCAATACAATTTGGGACATGTTGCAACTCTGCTCAGGTGTTTGAATTAGAATAGGGAATAGGGAAAGACTTTGAGGAAGAGACTTTTTGGCTGTACTGTTACTCAGGTGAACAATCAGTTCAACTTTTACATGTTAACTTCTTCAAAGAAGTGTTACATAAGTAAATTTGAAAAAGGTTTTAAAAAATTCATGTTAGGACCCCATTAACTTTTGATAATTTCCCATGGCTTTATGGATTGCTAGTACCAAAATTAATGTTTCCAGCCAAGTACAGAAAGATTACATTTAAATAGAATAAAACTGTACAAAACAGATATCCAGAATGCTATAGATCACTAGCACTACAGAGGCAATCAATACAAATCTAAACTAAAGCAATGGTAAAAGTTAAATCTATTGCATTAGAAACTGCAGGGAATTAAGTTTATTTACAGCATGGACACCTACATTACAACCCAGAAGTCTAACAAGTAATCAATATTACTACTGCACATCTAGTACGTGTCTTGAATCTTTCCATCTTGAATCTTTACAACTTAGATGTTACTGTTCTAGGGGCACTGATCAGTGCTCATACTTCTTAAAAGATGCATTGCCATTTAAGATTTTTTTTTAATTTCTGAAGAAGCAGAATTAAGGTTTTAATTTTACTAACTTCCTGTTATCCTTTTCCTGTTAGTTGGAAAGAGGGGATTGTTCTAAGAAAAATACCCATCTAGCACTCTTGGATTACACAATTGTCCTTTTGGGGAACCAAAAAGGGCAGAGATGGGTTTGAGCTGTTAATCTAATCCTGCTTCTTTCCCCAGGATTTTTTTCCTTCTAAACAGCAGTGAACAGAAGAAAATGCAAGTTGTGGCTCATGGTGTGGCTTCAATGCTGAGAAAATAAGCACTTTGAAACTGGTAAATTTTCACCAGCCAAGTGTACTTTAAAATCTACTTTTTAACAGTGGTGTCTTGAGGAGTCCCAGAAAACAACGCAATTACTGCCTTGAAAGTGAAAACACTTGCCCATTTCAGTTCAGCTACTTCTGGGGTAGTATTAAATTATGCTCTCTCATGCCTGGCTCACCACCTTTTTTATACTGACAATCTATCAACTTTTTACTGACAAACCTTTTTCCTGACATATTTCTACTGTCAGTAAAAAAAAAAAAAAAAAAAAAA